AAGCCCCCCCCCTGATCCTTGGTTTACTCGGCTATGTGCTTCGGCTGGCCTCTGCTTCAACTGTTGCACCATGGACGTCCGAGTGTGTTGCATCGTTACAGCGGAAGGGGCCCAACCACAAGAAACCTTCCAAACACCTAACCCTGAGGCCCCAGGACGTCATCGATTTTTGGCGTGGGAGCGTCACGCTTTCCAGGGCAAAGCCATGGAAACCCAGGAAACGCAAGGCACCCTGGAGGCAAGCAGGGTGGTTCTTGGCATGCTACCCCCCTACTGTACCTTGCGTTCATCTGCCTCACACGTCACCGAACGCGCACGCTGTGGGGTATGCTTGATGGCGCCGCGCTCACCAAAAAGAGCCTTGAGAACCATCAGAGAATTCAGAAAGGGCTTTCCCCCAACCACCAGGGTCCGCCCAAGGCGTCTTTGGCCAGAAAGCTGGGCATCGTCAGGCGGGAGACCTTCCCCTCCGCGGGCCGCCACCTGGGGTCCTCGTTGGCCAATTCGCTACCGCCTCGTGGATGCCAGCGAATTCCAGCAAGTTCCTCCTCCTCCTCCTCCTCCTCCTCCTCCTCCCCCTCCTCCTTCCCCCCTCCTGCTCCTCCTCCTCCCTTCTCCTCCCTCCTCCTCCTCCTCCTCCTCCTCCTCCTGTGGGAAAGTTCTCAGGAGGAGCCCGAAGATAAGCACATCGTGTACCAGGACCCCTTGGAATTGTTATCTCCAGAGGCTCTCAGAGATATATCCAGGAGTTATTGCAAGTTTTCGGCTGTGGGCCTCGATGGTTTTCACTGTAAGCATATATGTTCCCTTTCGGAGCCTCTTCTCCTTGTGCTTTCCATCCTCTATAATATTATGGAGTCCACGTCTATGCTTCCGAGGCAAATTAAAGCCATCGTTCTGTTTCTGCTGGAGAAGCCCTTGGGTGGATATCGCCCCATAGGGTTATTTAGTGCCGTGTGTAGGATCTGGGGAAGGGCCCGCAGGACTGAGTGCAGTTCCTGGGAGGCCAAGAACGCCAGATCATATCTTGCTGCCTCTGCCTTCTGCGGAGCCAGCGACGTCGTCTGGCGTCAGGCAGTGAGGTCAGAGCTAGGAGTCAGGAAGGGAGACGTTGCTGTTAGTGTGCTCTGGGACCTTTACAAGTTCTACGAAAGGATTCCCTTCAATGTACTCCTGGCTCGGGCTGACATGCTTGGTTTCCCTCGGTGTTTGATCAGGCTTGTTGTTAGTGCTTATCGTGGGCCAAGGTTTGTTTCGCTTTCCGGTCTGGTGGATGGTCCGCACTATGCTATCCTGGGAGTTATTGCTGGCTGCTCCATAGCTACTACATGTGTCAGAATCTTCATGATCCCTGCCCTGGACATGTTGGTTCTCCTCAAGCAGCTTTACTTATCTGTTTACATTGACGACTATGGTTTATCGGCTGTAGGTTCAGAAAAGTATGTTTCAGGGCACAGCAAGGAGTCCGCGGCAATACTAGCGGACATTGTTAGGACCGAATTGCGCAGCAGGGTCTCGGAGGACAATGCCGCCCTCATTTCCTCCTCCCCGAAGCTCGGTCAGGAGTTGCGCAAGTTCTTGGGAGGACTGAGTGGTAGCTCAGTCTCAACTGCTGTCAATCTCGGCATCGACGACACTGTCGGTCGTCCTCGCAGGCTTCCCAAACAGGGCCCCCAGCATCAGCAAAGGAAAAAGGTTCTGAAGACTTGGGTCAACATGATCACCAGGCCCAGGGCCGTTTTGGGAAGGCATGCCAAGAAGATGTTTTGTTCTGGTGGGTTGGCTGCTGCTACTTACGGCAGCGAAGTTCATGGAGTTTCCGATTATGAACTGGGAAACCTCAGGAGAGCTTGTGGGAGGGTTGTTAAGCCAAGTTCGGGGTCACGATCGCTCACCACCCTCACCATCCTCGAATCAGATCCATGCTGGTTCCCATATGCCTCTCCTGTGGTCAGGCATGCGAAAGAAATTTGGTCTAATCCGCTGCGTGAGTTCGAGTTTGCGATTCATTTCAGCCAGTTGGGAGAGGCGTGGGCCTCCGCGTTTGCTGCAGGTAATTCTACGTGTCGCAGTTGCTCAGGTCCTTTGTCAGCTGCACGGCTATCCTTGGAGAGGGTCGGTTGGTCCATGGCCGACTTCACGACCTTGGTCACGGACACAGGGGTGGAATTCAGTCTCACCACCACCTCCCCGAAACTCGTCAAGAGGCATCTGCATCAAGGGGTCCTGAGGTCCTTGAAGAAGTCTTCTGGACAAAAGATGGGGTTCGAAGGCAGGTCATGTTTCGACGTCGTCAAGCAGCTGCTCAGATCCAGAAAGCTAACGCCTTCGGAGAAAGGCTCTCTGATGCGTTTTGCCTGTGACGGGTTGTGGACGAAGACCCGTGCGCAGGCGTCAGGCTACGCTAGAAGGTGACGATCTCCTGAGAGCTATGTGTAAAGGTGCTCCCGATACGATCCAGCATCGATTGTATCAGTGCCCAGTCGTCCAAGATGTAGATTGGAGATCGTCGGCCCTCAGTTCGTGCAGAGTGCTCTGGAGGCCCAGCCTGATCAGGTGGATTTCCAGCTCTATACCAAGGCGCGCCTCCCGCAACCAGGTGACAAGCTGCCGCCGCCCGCCAAGGAGTCCCCTATTTCTGTGTCTTGGGTTGGTTCGACCTCGACCAGCACTGAGATCTCAGGGCATGTGTTTTTCGACGGGTCCCAGACCAAGTGTGATGTTCCTGAATTAATCGGGGCTGGTTGGGGAGTGGCAGTTTTCAATGAGGACTTAGCATGTTTGTTCCATTGGGGGCCCGATCTGGGCCCACCCCCCGCAAACGTCCCAGGCGGGTGAGTTCGGCGCCTTCGGTGCCTCAAATGAGTTTCTGGTCGGCCCATCTGTGGGCTGCAGTGATTGCAGTAATGTGGTCAAGCAGTTTGTCCAGCCTAGTGTTAGGCAAACTCATTATAAGCGTCCATACGCTGGCATGTTCCTGAGGAGAAACTCTCTTTTTTTCTCGAGTTGCAAAGGTTCGTGCGCATGTCAAGGACAGCGACGAGCTAACATATTACGAACACTTCTGCAAGAGAGGGAATGATGCAGCTGACCGAGCTGCCAAGCAGGGCGCGGCTTCCCATCCTCAGTCCGCGCCAGCGGAGTTACATGAGGTTTCGCGCCTTACGACTGCCGCTAGGGAAGGTGTGTAAGCTTGCCTATTCCCTCCTCCCCCTTTGGCCAAAATTGGATCTGACCGATGTTCCCTGGACCAGACAGTCAGAGCCTGTAGCCAAGGTGGAGTCTAATTTAGTGGCTCACCAGTGGCACTGGTGCCGCACCTTTTGGCGCTGGCAAGTGTGCCTTCAGGTTAAGCGTCAACAAGCCAGGCCCCCCGCAGGCAAGTGTTCAGGTGAGTTGCCGTTTGTTGCTCTCGGTTTCCAGGACCGTGGACATCGAGTGATTGGTTTAGAATGCTCCGGCGAAACCATGCTGTACCTGTGCGTTCGTTGTTTCGGGTACACGTGTGGAGGTCAATTTAAGAAGCTTCGGGCCGACTGTAGGCCCGAGGTGAAAGGCAAGTTGAGTAAATATTATTATGCTGTGTTGCGCTCGCTCAGCCGAGGCTCTCACCCCAAGCTGAAGGGGGTAACGTGCCAAGTTTTTAACCTTGACGATTTTGAGCAGGAGGCGGATGGCCAGCATGTTGGTGGGGTTGAGTCGTTGTTCGAGTCGGGTGGCGGGGGCCGTCTCGTGCAAGGAGCTAGGCCTGATCCGTCTCCTGCTCTGAGTTCCTCCCCCCATGCCCCGAGGCCACCCGCGCCTTTGGTTCCGTCGGGTTTGGAGGAGAGGAGGAATTCGGATACCTTTGTGGAGGAGGAGGAGGCTGCTCGTTTCCTGCTCGCCTTCAGCAGGCCCTCTCTTGCCAATGCGTTGGAGAGTCGCCCCACTGAGCAGCTGAGGTCAGGCAGGCATCGACTCCTCCAAGAGGAGGATGATGCCCCCCTGCTGACTAGGGTTGCTCGCGTTAGGTCTGCGGAGTCTGATGACTCCGACTGACTTTCGGTCCTTGGGGTGTCCGTCGTTCGCGGCGTCAGCCACCGCCTTGGTCCGTTTTTTGTGTCAGAATAATCTGGCCACTCCCAGGTGTCACCTCCTGGGCACGGTGCGAAGTAAAAAAAAGTCCTCCTCCTCCTCCTCCTCCTCCTCCTCCTCCTCCTCCTCCTCCCCTCCCCCCTCCCCCTCCCCCTCCCCCTCCCCTTCCTCCTCCTCCTCCTCCTCCTCCTCCTCCTCCTCCTCCTCCTCCCTCCCTCCTCCTCCTCCTCCTCCTCCTCCTCCTCCTCCTCCCCTCCTCCCTCCTCTTCCTCCTCGTTTTCCTCCTCCCTCCTCCTCCTCCTCCTCCTCCTCCTCCTCCTCCTCTCCTATCCTCCTCCTCCTCCTCTTCCTCCTCCTCCTCCTCCTCCCCCTCCTCCTCTCCTCCCTCCTCCTCCTCCTCCTCCTCCTCCTCCTCCTCCTCCTCCTCCTCCTCCTCCTCCTGTCTGACGGCGACGGCGGCGGGCAGCGACGACGACGGCTCCGGTGCGAGGCCGTGGGGCCCCCGTGCGGCCGGGCCGCCCGCGCGCGGCGGTCGCTGCCAGGGCTGCGGGCAGGGCTGACGCGGAGGCCACGACGACGACGACGACGACGACGACGACGACGACGACGACGACGACGACGACGACGACGACGACGACGGCGACGACGACGACGACGACGACGACGACGGCGGCGACGACGACGACGACGACGACGACGACGACGACGACGACGACGGCGACGACGACGACGACGACGACGACGGCGGCGGCGACGACGGCGGCGGCGGCGACGGCGACATCGACGACGACGACGACGGCGACGGCGACGGCGGCAGCGACGGCAACGGCGACGGCGACGGCGACGACGACGACGACGAGCCTGCGGCGATCTCGGCCCAGGCCGGCCTCCTGGAGATTCAGAGCATGCCCGGCGAGAGGGTCGTGGAGCCAGAGCGGCTCGCGCCACGGCCCCCGTGGCCCCGTGAGCTGGGTGGGAAGGCGGAGGTGACAGGGTGGAGGCGGGACGGATGAGGAGGATACGAGCTTTAGTGCGGCGGGGTTCGCTGTTACTTTCAGCGGAGTCGGCTTTTCACACCGAGGCGCTCGCCATAGAGTGGGCGCTACAGCATCTGATCAGCATTGTTTCACCCTGAGATCATCGGCGCTGCGGGGCGGGCCACGGCCCATGCCGGACTCCAAAAGAAAAAAGAGGGGATGATGAGGAGGAGTGGAAGGATGGAGGGGGGAAGGGTGACGAGATGAGGAACACGAGAAGGAGGGGAGGGGCCAGCGTAAGCCCAGGATGCATCAGCGATGCTGCAACACACCCTTCCCCGCCCCCAGTCCCTCGCACGTCCCTGCAAGCTATCCCAGGGCTGGACCTAAACGGTGTTTTTGCGATTTCGTGGGCCGTTTTCGCTTCGACTTCGTTTTGCGGTAAAGGCGTATTGAGGACACAGCGAAGGAAAACGACGACAACACGAAAACGAACAACCCCGTTTAGGTTCAGCCCTGAGCTATCCTTCTCAGTACAAGAGCTGCTCCCCTTGCAAGACCAGCGCAGTTGGGCCTGCTGTTTTGGCGAGGGCACCGCTCTGAAAAGCAGCTGCGCTGCACGCTTCTGCCTTACGATCAGAGGCGCAAGAAACTCTATGGCCTGTCCCTCTACAGGAGGGATGTTCAAAAACAGTCAAAAAATAGTCTGGGGACGATTTGTTGACTATTTGTGATCATTCGGGTGAGAATTTTCAGTATTGCGAAGGCCTGACGGCCGGTGCCGCCGACCCTGTTCGCAATGCGCAGCAAGAGATTACGAGGTTGCTCAAGGTCGGCTTGGCTGGAGCCCAGGGGAAGAGGAGTCCCAGGGGGGGGCGTCGTATCTGACCCGGGGGGGGGGTCGCTACCCCCCCCCCCCTCCCGGCGGGGGAGGGATCAAAGGGAAGGGGCTTCCCTTCGACTCAATTACGAGGTTGCTCAAGGTCGGCTTGGCTGGAGCCCAGGGGAAGAGGAGTCCCAGGGGGGGGCGTCGTATCTGACCCGGGGGGGGGGTCGACACCCCCCCCCCTCCCGGCGGGGGAGGGATCAAAGGGAAGGGGCTTCCCTTCGACTCAATTACGAGGTTGCTCAAGGTCGGCTTGGCTGGAGCCCAGGGGAAGAGGAGTCCCAGGGGGGGGCGTCGTATCTGACCCGGGGGGGGGGTCGACACCCCCCCCCCCTCCCGGCGGGGGAGGGATCAAAGGGAAGGGGCTTCCCTTCGACTCAATTACGAGGTTGCTCAAGGTCGGCTTGGCTGGAGCCCAGGGGAAGAGGAGTCCCAGGGGGGGGCGTCGTATCTGACCCGGGGGGGGGGTCGACACCCCCCCCCCCCTCCCGGCGGGGGAGGGATCAAAGGGAAGGGGCTTCCCTTCGACTCAATTACGAGGTTGCTCAAGGTCGGCTTGGCTGGAGCCCAGGGGTTGCTCAAGGTCGGCTTGGCTGGAGCCCAGGGGAAGAGGAGTCCCAGGGGGGGGCGTCGTATCTGACCCGGGGGGGGGGTCGCTACCCCCCCCCCCTCCCGGCGGGGGAGGGATCAAAGGGAAGGGGCTTCCCTTCGACTCAATTACGAGGTTGCTCAAGGTCGGCTTGGCTGGAGCCCAGGGGAAGAGGTCTCCCAGGGAAAGGGAAGGACAGAGACGACGAGTACAAAGAATGACGGAGATGACGGCTCGAACGGAAAAGCCCCTCACACACGCCGACAGGGTCGGCGGATTTTTATTTTTTCGCCCAAGATCCCCCTGTAGGGCGACAGGCCCGACTTAACTCTAATCATGGAGTTCAGCGAGGGGTTCAGCGAGACCCCCCTTTCGAAGAAGTACCAAACCCCATCTGTGCAATTGTTCATGCATTTACCCATGTGGTCATGAGATTCGAGGAAGTATCAAGCCTGAACACCGTTTTGGAAAGGAGCCGCCATGGATCAGTGCAGTCCTACATGCTTTGAATTTTCGGCTCTTGAGAAATAGCGAAGTCCCGGGCGAGAGCCCCATGTTGAAGAACAGTAGTCTCCCTGTCCTGACGTGTCCTGCATTGAGAAGACGGGGGTGCGAGGTGCCAATGCGGGAGCCCCACTTTGAGAATTACTCATGATCAATCCTTGTAACTGCTGCAACACCAGCTGTCTACGGCAACTTCGCCACCGTGCCTGGGCTGTGGGTATGAAGCCTGTTGGATAGTCGTCGGGATCTCACGGGAGGCCTCTCGGGGGCCTCTTGGAGGCAGTTTTGAGGCCTCTTAGGGGGTCTGTCCTCCACCACCTCCTCCTCCTCCTCCTCCTCCTCCTCCTCTTCCTCCTCCTCCTCCTCCTTCTCCTCCTCTGGTGATGCTGATGGTTGTGGCGCCCCTGACCGCGCATGATTTGCCGTCGCGCGTTCGGAGCGGTCGGAGACCGCGCCGAACGACCGCGGACCCACGGTGGCGGTGGCCTTCCTTCCTGCCCGCCTCTCTCACCGCCGTGCCCCCGCCGTGGAGCTCCTCCCCGCGCGAGGGCAAGAGGCCATCGAGGGTTGACCAGTGGGCCGAGCACTCTCGAGGGCAAGCCTCGCGCTCGCGACGGCGCCCCGCGGCCTGCTCGCGACGCCGAGCTGAGCACGGCCCTCCGCAGCCCGGGCTCTCCGCGGGCGGCCGGCGGCGCCGAGCTCGGAGGCGGCGGGCCCCGGGCCCTGCTCGGCGCGAGGCCGAGGGGGCCGAGCAGGCCGCGGAGGCCGAGCGCGGAGCGGCCGTGCGCGAGTGGGCCCGCGCCCCAGAGGCTCCTCCTCCTCCTCCTCCTCCTCCTCCTCCTCTTCCTCCTCCTTGTTCTCCTCCTCCTCCTCCTCCTCCTTCTCCTCCTCCTCCTCCTCCTTCTCGTCCTCCTCCTCCTCCTGTACTGCCACTCCCGATGGGGCAATCATCGCCCCTCTTTTGGATCCGCGGGGGGGGCGGGGCACGTGCCGTCGGAAATGGGTGGAGGGGGGGGGAGGAGGAGGAGGAGAGAGGAGGAGGAGGAGGAGGAGGAGGAGAGGAGGAGGAGGAGGAGGAGGAGGAGGAGGAGGAGGAGGAGGAGGAGGAGGAGGAGGAGAGAGGAGGAGGAGGAGGAGGAGGAGGAGGAGGAGGAGGAGGAGGAGGAGGAGGAGGAGGAGGAAGAGGAGGATTTGTTTTGCCCGCAACAGGCCCTTCCACCTCTGAATGTCGCTCTGGCAGCCTGGAGGGGCAGGCCGCCAGCCCTGGTCGCGTAAAGGTCCGACCAGGGTCCTCGCTCTACCGTGACTCTGTCATTCTTTGGATGCAGGCCACGGCATATTCTCTGCCAACAATGCCGAGCACCCGCACTGTTGGGGTGCTCGGCGCACTGTCGAGAAAGATTCATGGCTCGCTGCCCGCTGATGGCCTTGCACCTCAGGCAAACGATTAGGCGGGTCGAGTCGGAGCATTCGAGCGAAATGCATCGGTGCCCCTTCTCTGCCAGGAGCGCAGGATCAAGTCGACTGCGTAGAGGGCAGACGCCAGGCGGGGGAGGCCAAAACCAACCTCCAATCCCATGTTCCTGCGGCGGGGCCCTAACCCCGCGAGAAGCTGACAAACACACAGTACATCTCCAGAGAGCTCCAATCTGCTGCCAAACGTGCGGGGTGGCAGCAGCTGTCCCAAGGCCAGCACCGCTCTCACGACACACGACCTCACGGACGACATCAGGACCAATCTCGAGAGGCGGCCATAGCGGGAGGAGCTTTGCCGCCAACACTCCCACAGCTCGCGCGACTGCATATTCCCGATCAAGCTCCTCCACCTGCTCCCTGCTGGGCTGCGGGTGGGAAGCCGCAGCAACTTTGGCTGCGGCATCGACATAGCTATTACCAATGCGGAGGAAAAGGTCTCGGCCATCGGCCGCTTCGTCTACTCTTTGATGAACCTTCACCTTGCTCGTAGTGATGACTGATAAATTCTCACGCACGAACTGGGCGCACCCCGAGTACAGGCGTTTGTGGCTGGTCTGTTTCACCCAATCTAAACTAGCATAATCCACAACATTCTGACAATCAGAATGTATGGTAGAAGGGTTGGCAACAAACCTAGCTGCGGCACAAAAAGCGTGGTATTCAGCACTCTGGGGGGTCTGGGGGTAGGGAGGCCACACAGGGCCCCGAATCCTGATCATCTCCTGCAAGTTGGAAGGATCGAGCAACGAGACGGCCCATCCAGCACGCGAAAGCTCGCCCACAGGGTGTCGTAAGCAAGAACCGTCCACAAAAATCTGACCAGCGAAGTCCTGTTCGAAAACCAAATGCTCGTACCCCTCACAAATCTCCGTGATGACCCCCTCCTCGAACGACGGCTGGGGGAAGGCCTCAGCAGGGTGGGGGAAGAGGCCGAAGCAAGCCAGGGTGTCGTCCGCCTGGCCTGCCCACTCTCGCACCTTAGCTGGAATCAACTCCGTCCTAAGTTCATCACAGGCAGAGCAGCGCCAGAGACGGTGACGGATCGTATCGTCCCCGTCTCCACAAAGAGAGCAGGTGGTGTCGATAACATACCCCAGGGATCTGGCCTTAACCCTGGTGTAGGTGGCATTGCAGAAGAGAGAGCGGACACAACCTTTTTTGGAAAGCCGTAAACTTCCGAGAGGTGAGGAGACTGAGGATCCCATCAGTGCAAACCCTACCAAGATGGTGCCTAGCTCCGAGGTCCCACTCGAGGGTACGTAGCACCGCTCTCCCAAGCAGCGATCTGACCATCGCGGGCGAGACCTGGGTCAAGTGAGTATCAAAACCTTTTTCATCACGGAGCGCCGTGAAGGAAGGCATGGACCAAGAAACACGCTCAAGAGACTTCCTCATCGCACTGATCGGGCCCGCGACACTTCTCCAGAGGCCCGAGGGCCTCGAAAACACAGCATTCCAAGCCGAACGAAGCGTGGCGAACGAGAGGGCGTGGGG